TGAGTGAATAATTTGAGAAACTGGACTATATGAAGAGCAAGGCCTCAGGATTGGAGGAAGATACATTAACAACCTGCAATATGCAGATGACACGATCTTGCTTGCTGAAAGAGACTTTGAAACATTAGTGATGATCAAAGGCCTTCAGTATGGATTTACAACTCAATGTAAAGAAAACAACACAACTGGACCAATAAGCAGCATCATGATAAGCAGGGAAAATATTGAAGTTTTAAGGGATTTCATTTTATTTGGATCCACAATCAATGCTTATGAAAGCAGCAGTCAAGAAATCAAATGACTTATTGCCTTAGGCAAGTCTGCTACAAAAGACCTCTTTAAATGAAAATCAAAAATGTCACTTTGAAGACTCAGGTGAGCCTGACTCGAGCCATGGTATTTTTCAGTTGCTTCCTAAGATAAGCACTCAACCTCAAGGTCGGTTTGAACCACAAGGTTAGCGGTTCAAACTTACCAGTCACTCCTTAGAAACCCTATACAAAGTTGCTATGAGTCAGAATAGACCAGATGGCCCTTAACAACACCAAACAAACATATACATGTGAAAGCCGAACAATGAATAAGGAACACTGAAGAACTGATGCCTTTGAATTGTGGTGTTGGCAAAGACTATTACGCGTGCTGTGGACTACCAAAAGGTGAATGAATCTGCATTGGGAGAAGTAAAGCTCCTTAGAAGCCAGGATGGCAAGGCTTCATTTCCCATCATGTAGTTTGGACATATTATCTGAGGGACTAGTCTCTGTAGAAGGATATCATGCTTGATAAAGCAGAGGGTCAGTGAAAAGGGAAAGACCCTCCAATGAGCTGGATTGACACAGTGATTGCAACAATGGTCTCAAACAGAACAGTGTTTGTGAGGATGGCACAGGACCAGACAGAATTTTGTCCTGTTGCACATACGTTCTCTATGAGCTGGAACTGACTAAATGGCATCTAACAAAAATAACATCATTTTTAAAAAAAGCAAAAACATTTTTATTGAGAATTGAGTGAAACTTTACAGAACAGATCATCAGCTTTACATTCAACAAATCATATACTTCATTTCATTTCAATGATTGCAATCACTTCAACGTAACATCAACTTATCCCACTTCCTATGTTGTTTTCAGTCCTCCTTCTTTCCCAACCTTTCTGAACTTTCTCCTTGGATAATTGCTGCCCTTTGGATCTCAAATTGTTGGCCAGTCTATGGTTTGCATACCTCATTAGTGTGGTTGTCCCAAAACTGAGTGATGGAGGTGAGTTCAGTTCTAGACCTGAAGGGTGACCAAAGGTCATAGTCTTGGAGTTCCAGCCATCTCTATCTAATCAGTAGCCCTGGTCTTTTTTATGATATGGGATTTTGTTCCACATTTTCTACCACTCTATCCAGTACCTTCTAAGGTGATCCCTTTCAGGGTAGTGGTGGCCAGGCACCATCTAGTTCTGGTCTCAGGGTTGTAGAGACTGATGTTCCTGTGTCCCTTAGTCCATTGGACTAACTATTTGCAAGTATCTTCAATGTTCATCACTCTCCTTTCCTCCAGACACCTTAGATGACCATTCATGAGCTTTTAAAATCCCACTTGTACCAAAGGATGAAGAAGACTGTCTTTGTGAACTATGTTATGCCAATTGACCATGAAGTCCCCTGAGACTGTGGTCCCTGGAGGACATCCCTACTTGGTAAAGTGGAAGATCAGGTAAAAAGAGGAAGCCCCCCAACAAGACCAACAAGATGAATTGACAAAGTGGCAGCAGCAATGGACCCAAGCATTGAACTCAACAATTGTGATATTGACACAGGACCAGGCAATGCAAACAACCATATATTTTTATGACTGCATTATATGAAATATCCAGAAAAGACTCATTTATTAAAATCAGTGGTTGCCTGGGGCTGAAGGTGGGAATACAAATAGACTATAAGCAGGCAGGAGGAAAATTTTCAGGTTGAAAAAATATATTAAAACTGGATAGTAATGATGGTTGCACAATTGTATAAATCGTCGGATTGTTTTAAAAATTAATAGTTTGAACGGATGCTAGAGAGGAAATATATGTTAGGATATTCTAACATAATACTAACATAATTCTAACATAAGTAATACTCGTAGTGCTCCAGTGAGGGACAAGGCCGTATCAGTTTTCGGAGCCACCAAATGGACGGAATGATGCTGGCCCTGCAGTGAGTGGGATGAGGCAGTGGATGTGGAGCCGGGTGCAGGTGATAGGAGCACAGAGTCTGAAGCCTAGGCACCCCAAAACCTGAAGTGTACGATGGAAGAGGGGTCACAGCCAGACTGGATAAAGCTTAGGATTAAGCTGTCCCTGGGGTGACTGTAAAATGCTATCATCATGTCCTCCGGACCTCACAGCCTTATTTAACCTGATGAAATGTTTTAAACTACAAAACTCTGTCTAGTTTACAAAATGAAGGCAAAGTGGTGGGGCAAAGTGTTCTCACAGCCTCCAGATGGGGGTAGGCATACGAATAGTTAGTTCCCTCCCTTTTGTCAATCGGACAGTTTTTCAGTCTAAGATATTTTATTAGATTAAATAAGGCTGTGAGGTCGGGGGACATCGGGGGACATCGGGTGCGAGGCAAATCCGGTGTCCAGAGAAGCCGCCCAGAGAAAGCGGTCTAGAGTCCAGCCCTGACCCCTGGACAAGTAGCAGCGGCTTTCAGCCTGCAGGGGGCGCCCAAGCACAACGCGCAGTCCCGCTCCGCCCCGCCCCGTCACGTGCCCGCGGCTTCGCGTCACACCCGGAAGCAGCGGCCAGAGGGGACCCGGCAGCTATGAACGGGGAGCGGGGGCCGATATCCTTAGCGCCCCCTCCCGGGGAGGTCGAACCGGGCAGTGGGGTCCGCATCGTGGTAGAGTACTGGTGAGCATTCTTTGGTGGTAAGAGACCCGGGCCATATGGGGTGGATCCACGGGAGGCCTTTTCCCTAAACCTCAGCCGATTCCAGATCCCTTCTCCCCAGTGAACCCTGTGGCTTCGAGGCGACCTACCTGGAGCTGGCGAGTGCAGTGAAGGAACAGTATCCTGGCATCGAGATTGAGTCGCGCCTGGGGGGAACAGGTGAGGCCTGTAGAACACCTGCTGAGTCAGTCTGTGCCCTAAATCCCAGCTCTACCACTTTTTAGCTTTGACATTGTTTCACATGAAATGTCCAGCAGTGTCTGGCACTTTAGTAAAATGTCCACTTAACGTCGAATAGCCTTCTAAAGATGAAGGGCCACAGATGGAGGCTGTAGGAAAAAAACCCATGAGACTGAAGCTTAGTTTGGAGGGGCGGGAGCCCATTGGATGATGAAGCTAAATTTAAAGGAGCAACACAGGTCTCTTTGGGTTGGCCCAGGGCTGGGGAATGGCTTAAGGAGCTACAATTAAGTCTCTTATGGGGTCAGTGGGGAACATGAAACACGTGTGGTGGATGCATTCAGCATTACCACTCATTCATGCATTTATTTAATACCAGGGGCCTTTGAGATCGAGATCAATGGACAGCTGATATTTTCCAAGCTAGAGAATGGGGGCTTTCCTTATGAGAAAGATGTGAGTATTTGCAGTGTTGGGAGGACCCTTGGGCCACCCGGCCCCTACCTTGTATCACCCCATTCCACATCTCTGCTTTCTAGCTCATGGATGCTATCCGAAGAGCCAGTAATGGAGAGCCTATAGAAAAGATCACCAACAGTCGTCCTCCCTGCGTCATCCTGTGATTGCACACTATCCTGGGGTCCAAGTCTTGGTCTCCTCTGTGATCTAATTGGGGCTTCCCCTCTGCCTCTTCCCTCACTGGTACCCTGGTCTTCACTTTGTACCTTGGAGGAACAAAAGCTTCTGTGATCCTGGGGATGGAAGAGAGACCCTCCCTATGGACATTTCCACAGACATCTTAGACCCTCTTCCCAGGATTAGTGCTGATATGAGCCCATTCCCCAGACCCAGTATTTCTCAGATTGTAGAATGAATTGATCCATCTTCAGCCCAGGTAACTAACGTCAGCTATTGGCATTAAAGTAACACTACAAACACTTGTGCAGCTAGTATGTTTTATGTCCCTCTCAGAAGTGGGTGGCCAGGGGGTGGGGCTGGGGGGTGGCAGGCAGCCTTTGTACCACCTAGCTGTCCTACATAGGTGGGCTCTTTTGGATAGCTCCTTTTCAGTTTAACCAAGCTCCTCTCTTGAAAAGCTAAGGTAAGGAAAATGGTCCTTCTGTCAACTCTTCTTACCCAGAGGGAGTAATGATCTGGTTATCAAAGGGCTCTTAGAATCCCCAACTCCCCAGATCACCCCCACCCCCAGACAAGCTGAGTGTGAGTTAAGACTAACACAGAGTCACTCCCAGACATAGGCTGGACCTTGGTTGTTTTCCAAAATATATTTGCAAGTGGAAAAGATGGGTGTGGAAAAAGGGGGCATCCCTTCCCCCACCCCCCAGGATCCCCTTCCACAGAACACCCACTCATCCCCTAGGTTCTTATTTTATCTTAAAAAAACAAAAACACAAGTAAAAACAAAGCAAGCACTCTGTACAAGAACTGAGTTCTGGACACAATGCTGTCCCTTCTGCCAGGGTAATAACTCTTGTTCTTAGAAACTCCCTTTCCTCATCCTCTTGAGGCCTCTTTCCATCCGAGACCTGCTTCCAAAGTCCTCCCAAACCAGAGATCTGGAAGAGGGCCAGAGTGGGCTACCACCTCAGGTGAGGAGACTGGCTGTAGCATCTGTTGACCCCTAGGGCCTAAGGCAAAGCTAAAAAAATTTTTTTTTAAATCAAGACTCCTCAGTGCTCCCGACTCTCCCAGCCAGTCTCGGCTGCTTCTCAGCCATCTGGAATGTGGGTATGACGGTTCCTTATTGTGGCAGGCTCCTCTGGTTCCAGAGGGCCCTCTCCTGCTTCATCTTGATGTGACCTGACACCAGGCCTTCCCCACACCCTGAGGGTACAGCAGGGCCTCAGCCAACTTGACCTTTTGGCTCACACTGGCACATCCAGACCCAAGTACTCAGGGTTCTCTGCTGTAGGGGTTCCTTCAAAGGTGCTGGGTGGAGAACCCCGCTCAGAAGGGTCCTGGTCCCAGTAATAGAGATTGTCAAAGGCTGGACTGAAGGCAGAGGAAGTATGAGGGGCAGTCCCGCTCCGGGGTGACAAGTACTCGGGGTTCTCCACAGCACCCCCAAAGGCAAAAATGTCTTTGACAACTCCATTCTTCCCAGGGGAGAGAGTCTTGGGAGAGAGAGTCTTGGGTCTTTCCAGAGGAGCACCAGCAGGGTGGGAAGATGGTAGAGGGACCTCTAGGGGTGAGGGTGGCTGTGGCCGAACCTCGGACTGGTTCACGTACTCTGAAGACAAAAGAAGGGGCACTGTCAGGGAAAGGAACGCAGGTGCCTGCCACTACATTTCCCCACATTGGATGCCCAACTCCCCTGCTCCCAATCTCTCAGCTTGGGCCTGGCCACCATACCGGGCTGCGGGCTGCAGTTCAGGGGGGCAACGTAGCCATCAGTCTCAGATGGGAGAGTTACTGTGGGGTCCTCGCTGTACCGCTGCATTGAACTGGGGTCATGTGGGGAAAGGCTCTGCAGCCCCTTGGTTGTCCCTATTACCAAGTCACCATCAAACACATCGGAGCCAGTCCCTTCTGAGGGAGCCAGTGGTGATCTGGGGGGTTCTTCCTCAGAGGACTCCAGTCCCAGGGTCAGCTCACCACCACCACTCTGAGGACAAGAGAGACACATGCTGGGGGTCATTCATGGATCTGGGATGGGGAGGCCATGAAGGGGAGGTGACAGGGTAGCCACAGGGGTTGGAAGGCAGCAGGACTCCTCCTTAGGGAAATGGGGTCTCCATGAGAGATGGTGGGGTGGGGGAACCACAGGTCCACTACTGTGTGGTCGAGTGTACTGACCCTGGTGGATGAGCTACGGTGCCTACGGTGGCCTGTGCCCCCAGTGCCCAGGGCAGGCTCTGCGCAGAAGAAGCCCTGCTGGGGTACCAGGTATTCCTCAGCATCCACTAGGTCTCCCATGTCATCATCCTCCAGCAGCGAGCGGTAGAAGGTGCTGTCCAAGGGGCTGGCGGGGCCCATCTCCTCATTCTGGGGAGGGTAGACACAGGGTGGCAGTGGAGGCGAAGCTTACCAGCGAGGGAGGTGTGAGTCAAGCAAGGGCAGGGCTTGGAAGCCTGGAACCACCTCCCTTTCTGCCTGTCGGGAGAGTGTGCTCTTCATAGTAGGGATGGTCCCAATACCTGGATAACCACAAAGCGCTGGGGGTCCCTGGCCATTCGGGAGAATTCAGACACCAACTCCCGGAACCGCGGCCGACACTCAGAGTCGATCATCCAACCTGGGGCAGGAGGGAACTCAGCATCTCAGTTCAACCTGTGTTGTCGTCCAACCCCTAAGTCAGTCTGGACAGCCCAGCTACTAGAAGAGACACCAGAGTCTGGAGTCCTTGGGCATCTCTGTTTCCTCAATTTATGTTACATACACGTTTTTCTCTAGCTGGTCCTATAGGGCTCCTCAAGGCTTTTACTGTGAAAGGGAGTCTAGACCCTTTAGAAACCAGTTGCTCTGAAGCCGATTCCCACTCATGGCACCCCCGTGTAAATCAGAATGGAACTCCATTGGGTTTTCAGTGGCTAATTTTTCAGATATAGAGCAGGCTATTCTTCCAAGACACTCTGGGTAGATTCAAACCTCCAACCTTTTAGTTAGCAGCATTAACAGTCTGTACCGCCCAGGGACTCCAGTCCCTTGGAGGCTCCTTTGAATATATCAGCACTGGGTCTTTGGCCCACAGCCCTTCCATCCCCTCCTCCACTCAGCCTAGCCACACACATTTGACCATGATCATGTAGACATCGATGGTGCAGATGGGGGGCTGGGGTAGCCGTTCCCCCTTCTCCAGCAGGTCAGGGATCTCCCGGGCTGGGATTCCATCATAAGGTTTGGCTCCGAAAGTCATCAGTTCCCACACAGTCACACCTGAGGCAGAGATGGAGGTGAAGGTAGGCAGGTCAGAGGGACGTTTAATGGGCAGAGCATCTCAGGCCTGGCACCCTGGGGAAGGAAGGTGTAAGGCCAAGGAGCAGGAGCTACCCCATCTCCCCTCCATTTCTGAGATGTGCACAGACACAGGCAGGAACCAATGCTTGGCATCAAGCTGGGCACCCTCTGCCTTCTCTCCTCCCCCAGTTCTTACCCTGCCACCAGCTTCCCCCCAGGGCCCGGGATCCTCCTCCTGCCCCTCCCTCGCCACACACCATAGCTCCACACATCACTCTGGTGGGTGAACCGTCTGCGGAGAATGGACTCTAAGGCCATCCACTTGATGGGCACCTGGGGAAACAGAGGAAGCCCCTGAACTGAGTGTAGAGCAAGGTGCCATTCTCAGAGTCCTTGCCAGGGCCAGACCCTGGTCCACCCTGCCTCATTGTGCTCCCTGCTCTAACCTTGCCGCCATCTGCATGGTACTCGGTCTCATCAATGTCCAGCAGCCTCGCCAGCCCAAAGTCGGTAATCTTAACATGGTTGGGGCTCTTCACCAGTACGTTCCGGGCAGCCAGGTCTCTGTGCACAAGCCGCACCTCCTCCAGGTAGCTCATTCCCTAGGATTACAGCATCACCCTGGACCTTCTGACAGTGCCGCACCCTGGCCACACTCTCTCAGGGCAATCCCCACCCTAGTCCATCCTGTGTAGAGAGAGAGGCTTGCTCCCAGGGCACCTGCAGAGCCCATGTCCCTGGCGTGTGTACCTTGGCTATCTGCACACACCAGTTCAGCAGATCCTGGGAGCCTAGGCGTCCGCGGTGTTCACGAACATGATCCAGCAGGCAGCCATAGGGCATGAGTTGGGTCACCAGCTGCACTGTGGATGTCAGGCAGATGCCCAGGAGGCGGGACACATATGGGGAGCCCACACCAGCCATCACATATGCCTCCTGCCAGCAAAGGAACACACTGAGATGGTATGGAAGACCACAAAGCCCAATGATCACACTCCCTGCCCTGGGGCCCTAACCCCACCCCACTCCACCCATCAGAAGCTTGCTCCAGGGTTCACAGACCAGGGAACAGTGTCTCCCCAAACCCCAGAGACCACATGAGCAGCCAGGGAGTCTCTTGGATGAGCAGAGTGACTCACATCCAAGATTTCTTTGTTGGCTTTAGGAGATGTGTTTTCTCGCAACACTTTGATGGCCACTGGGATTTTCACATTCTCCCCATCCGGGATCCAGATGCCCTAAACAGAAAGGAGGATGTGAGGCAAGAGGGCCTGCAGTCCTGGGATCATTGCTCAGAACACCCTTCCCTACCGCGGGTGACCTCGCTGTGGGCCTCGTTGCCTTTCACTTTTCCCAAACAGCACCATCCCCAGTAGTCCTATGCTCCCAGCTAACTAACTACCCTGACCCTTCCCCTTGCCCTATCCTCTGGGGTCACCCTTACCAGGCCTTGGCCCCAATCCTAACCTTGTATACCGTGCCAAAAGCTCCAGATCCAAGCACCTTGACCTTCCTCAGCTCAGTCTCCTTCAGGATCCGCATCTGAGCCTGGTTGGGCACCGCCCCACTGGGCGTCAGCGGCTCCACCAGCTGGATGAGGAGTGGTGGTCAGTGCTAGGCTAAGCCATGGTCCCAGGAGCCGCCTGGGAGGCCCGGGGGCCGCCTCACCTCCGTTTCCTGCAGCAGCCTCCGCATCGTGTACTTCCGGATCTTCTGCCTCCGGCGCTTGATTAGGATGCCCAGAAACAGCCCAACGACCATAAACAGCAGGACGCCAACCACAGTGGTGATAATGGACGTGATGTGGCTGGGGGCAGAAGCTAGAGTCATGGATGGGGGACTGGTCTGGGGCAGGAGGGATCACGGGGCTACAGGCTCTGACTCTAAAACCTACCTTGTCTTCCTGCCTGCATAATAAAGCCCAGTCTTCAGAACCCCCTCTACCCACACCTCGGAAGTCTCTGTGGCTCTAGACCAGGATTCTCAAACTCCAGGACATGAGAATCCCAGGGAGCTTGTTAATATGGTTCGGGAGCTCCTCCCCCAGAGATTCTAGTGGCAGTCATGGGTTGGGCCCAGGAATGTGCTGCGCACCAATGACTCTAACATTCCAGCCAAGTTTTCATTCATAGACCATGCTTTTCCACATGCTATTCCTTCTGCCAGGAACACCATTTCCCAATCTTCAAGACTCGGCTCATCCTAGGATACATGTGCATCCCTGGTGTTGACCCAGCATCCTTGACTCCCCTTGCTAAGCACAGAGCCTGGTACAAAGCAGGTCTCTCTCTCATGGATGCTGTCTCAGGAACAAATGATGGCCGAGGGCACATTTCAATCTGTTTCTCCCCACAAAGCCCTCAAAGCTCACACAATCAAAGCCAGCTCTGTGGCAGAGCCTGTGCCTTCCAGATTGGGCCCTAACCTGACTCAGCTTTCACTCCCTTCTCTTTGCTTACTCAATGATCTAGTGTGTCTGCTCACTAGATTTTCACAACCCCTCCTAAATACCTTCCCTTCTTAACCAGGCTAGTTTGCCACTGGAATATAAGACCTGGTTCAAATGGCACTTCCTCTGAAGCTGTCTACCATCCCATCACAGTTCCTCAGTCCCCGCTCAGTGTGGCCATGCAATCTCCTCCCAATCTACCTACATTCTAAGGAGTTAAACTTTGCCTGTGTCCCTCAAGAGATATCAAGAGTGGGATGCTGGGAGTTACTCAACAGTGGGAAGGTTGGGAGTTCTTCCTGTTCCCCAACATCCTGAGCAGGTCTTCAGTGTACTTAGTGAATTGGATTAAAAGGTGTATCAACAGTGGAAGAGTGGGTTGGGAAGGGACGGGTGTCAGATCAAGAGGCCCCCTCCCGACTGTGTACTGAAGACCAGGGGGATGTGGGGGGCAGGCTTGCAGAGTATACCCTTTGGTTGGTTGATGATGCATGGAGGGGATTGTAACCATGGCAATGAGATGATATACGATAGAATGAATGTAAAACTAATGTTCTCCCATGTAAACTACCACATAATTCACAATAAAATATTTAAGAAAAAAAAAAAAAAAAGAGGCCCCCTCCCTGTGGCAGTGATCACCCAGGGTCCAGTGGGCAAGTGAGGGGCAATGTGGGTCCTGAGGACCAAGCCCACCTGGCTCTCTGCTCAGCAGGGCAGCCTTTCTCGTCCAGATCCACACAGCTGTAGGAGAGAGAGTCCTGTCAGCAACGCTGGACCACCCTCCCGTACTCACTGCTGATAAGTTATTCTCCCCATGGACAAAGGCAGAAACGTAATTCACCCTCACCAGGGCTCTTTCCATCCCCCCACAAGGGAACCGTATCCCCTGCTCCCTGGCAGCCCCCCTGTGGTGGGGAGTAAGAAAGGAAACAACCCAGAGGACATCGACCAGGAAACTTAGCTTTTCTATCTGTAAGAGTCCCAGGATAAACTGACACAACGTCTGCAGGACAGGTTGACAATACCCATCAATTAAAGAATGCCCATAACCCAGCAGTTCCACTTCTCAGTCTATGCACTACTGAAAAAGCAACATTCATTTACTTTTATTAGGATAAGCTCTGGACTGCTAATGGCAAGGCGGCAGTTCAAACCCCCCAGTTGCTCTGAGAGAGAAAGATGAAGCTTTTTGCTCCTGGAAAGATTTATATAGCCTTGGAAACCCTATCCAGAGTTGCTCTGACTTGGAATCGACTCAACTGAAGTGAGTTTGGTTTTTTGGTATGGTTTGGTAATATGTTAATTTAAGTTTTTAAATAGTATGTGTTCATTCTGTGATCAGAAAATAATATATATGAAAAATTAAGAGTCGCAGGATAAGCAAAAGTCAAGATGTCCCCATTTTAGAATAAAAGCCCCAGAGAAGCCCTCCCCACCCTGCCTTCCAAAGAAAAGGCCCTGAGACTCACGAGTGGGTACAGTTGTTGGGGCATGTCTGGCACGTGCCCTCCTCATCTGGGAACTTCCAGATGGGCATGAAAGAGAGGTCAGCTTTCACACCGCTGGGGCAACGAGCCACACAGAAGGGAGTATCTTTATAGTGGGCACAGGCCACACACTGGTCAGCCTCCTGGGTGGAGAGGAAGGATGGGGGTTGGGGGTGATACTGACACCCCCAGGTAGCAGGATTCCCTCAGTGCTTCCTCATGGTCACTCAGCAGCGCTCTCCACCCTCTCCTATGTACCCACCACTCCTGCTTACCCCTCAGCCTCCGTGGCCCTCCTCCAAGGGGCTTCAAAGAAAGAATTGGAGGCCAGAGAGGGGAGTGATGCTTAAGGTGTGACAGTGAGGAATAGCAGTAAGGAATTCAGTGCTCAGATATTCGGTTCTTCACAGTGCCCAAGTTGATAATACGAATTGTAATATTCATTTACAGATAACAAAAACAGAGGTTGGAAGCACTGACTAAGTTTGAACCCATATTCTCTGCTGCCCGGACCCACCATCTCTGCATAGCCAGGGCCAAGAGCCAGTCCTCCTTGGGAGCCTTTCACAGTCTAAAGGGCTCCAGGGTCCACCAGCCTCCAACTTTTTCTCCTGCACCTTCCTGCTTTCCAGGTCTAAGCTGGGTGCCCACTGCTGGATGCTGGCAGACTAAAGCACACCCCTCAGCTTCTCGTCACCCTGACACGTGCCTGGCACACACTGCTTCCCTCCACCCAACCCTGGGCCCACCAGAGTGCCTCACCAATCCGAAGCAGGTTTCTGAATCATTCTGGGGCTGACACTCGGGGTGGCATGGCAGACAGTGTCTGTCCTTCACATACTCCCGGGGGAGCCTGGGAGAGGGAACAGGTGTGATGGGTATGGGAGGCACCCTTGGACACCCCTCCAGCCACCCTTCCTCCACCCCGCATACCCCTGCAGAACTCGGCATTCCTCCACGCACTCCTGGCCCCGCAGGTACTGGCTGCAGTTGACACACTGGGTGGGCCCAGGACCCCAGCAGTGACCGTGGGCGCACAGAGGGTAGCAGGTCAGGCCCTCGCCCACTGCAGTGAGGAAGGAGGGGCCAGAGGAGGTGCTTCAGGGAAGGCCCAGGGCCCAGTGAACCAGGGCGGGAGTTGTGGGTGTGGTCTAGGCTGGAGGGGTGGGGACAGGCACTAGGCAATGCAGGGCTAAGAAGAGTTCTGAAGTTCAAGAGGGAAGGTTGCCAAGGTACTACGGCATGGCCCAGCTGGCAGCCAAGCCGAGAGGCCAAGCCAGCCAGTGCTGAATCAAGAATAGTACAGCAGGCATGGGCAGTCTGCACAAGTCCCAGAAAGCACTGCCAGGGGCCCATGGGCATGTTTGTGTGTGCTGGGCTCTCTGTCTTACCGCACTCATCCTCTGGCCGGTTAGCAGTGTGCAGCAGGGCCTGGTGAGGGTTCCGGAAGAGTTGCTCCCAGGGCACCGTGTGCACGAAGCAGAGTTGAGAGTTGTGGTGGATGAGGGCCAAGCCACTGCTCAGCTCCCGCAGTGAGCGCAGCCCCAGCCAGCTGATGTCCAGCCCTTGCAGGGTCAGCGAGTAGGCACCGCTGTGGGAGAAGGGTTGCCCACCTGACCACTCACCCCTTCCCATTGGCAAGGGCAGGCCTCACCTTCCTCCTGTCCCCAGCACACGCCACAAACTCCCATGGAAAGATGCCCCTGGGAAGCAGGTGTGCCCACCAGTGCCCATAGCTACTCAGAGGTCTCCTGGGGTATCCCCTCCCTGAAACCCTCTTCTCCTCCCCGCCCCCATACTCACTCATGCAAAACTCGCCCCCGGATGACTTGAAGGTTCTGGAAGACACTGAGGTCAGGCAGATTGTCCGGCCATGCTGAGATGTACAGGTAACCTATAGGTACAGGGTGAGGCTGGGTATGTGGAGGACAGGGTGAAGACCCCCAAGTTCACACCAGGGGCAGCCAGCTAGAGGGCAAGACACAGAGGGGCACCCACCTGTGATCTCCTCCAGAGTCTCAAACACTCTGAGCTGCTCAGGTTGCAAGGGGGGAATGCTGGAAGTCGGGTCCCTAGAAGGAGGAGTAGGAGTCAGGAGAATTGGAAAGGGGTAGGCATGACCCCCAGAGCTGACCCTGCTGCCAGCTCCCTGCCAGGAATGCCTTCCCTTAAACCCTTTGCCCAGCTGTTCCCTCCTGAACTTCAAAGGCTAGGCCCTAATTTGGCAGGATCTATCAAAACAATATTTATGTCCTTTGATCCAGAAATCCCTCTTCTAGGAATGTGGCCTAGAGAGGCACTGGCCCCAGTTCCCAGATCCAAGGCCAAGGCCAAACAGTCTGTAAGAGCAAAAACTGAAAATGACCTAAACACCCATCAGTCAATAAAGGAGCTGTTAAGTAAAACCCTGACCTATCCAGACTATGGAATAGAAAGAAGTATTTGGAAGTGCTTCATTATGTCCCAAGCATTGCGTGCCAAATATTAACTCATTCAAACTTTATAACTCCGTATGAAGTTGGGATTATAAATGCCCCTATTTTACAGATGAGGCATAATAAGAATAAGAGTAAACCAGGTTACAACCGAGGCAGCTGGTTCCAAGCCTGGGCTCTTGTTGTTAAGTGCCGTCGAGTCAGTTCCGACCCACAGCAACCCTGTACAGGGTTTCCAAAGCTGTAAATCTTTACGGGAGCAGAACGCCTCATCTCTCTCCCGCGGAGCGGCTGGTAGTTTCAAACTGCTGACCTTAAGGTTTGCAGCCAGACTCATAACCACTACGCTACCAGAGCTCCTTGAGCCTGGGCTCCTAGCTGCTACTATTTGTTGCTACCTGCTTCGTAGCTGTTGAAAGAGCAGGGCAGCTTGATATGGGTGGCTATGACCAACTCATCAAAGCGCAATGCCAACACAAGAGGATTCAGGTCACAGAAATTGCTTCCCCAACAGAGCCATTCAGACAACCTGTGTATCTCTGTCCCCATAAATACTCCTTAAGGACACTAACTTAACAATAGTCCCCTCCTATGTTGTTGGTAAGTGCTGTTGAGTTGATTCTGACTTATGGTGGCCCTGTATAGGGTTTCCGAGGCTGTAAATCTGAGGGAGAAGAAATCCTTATTTTTCTCCCATGGAGCAGCTGGTGGGCTCAAACTGCCAACCTTGTGGTTAGCAGTCTAGTGCTTATCCTATGGAGCCACCACACTCCCCAGAAGAGGCACAGCGGTAAAGAAAGTGTTGAAGGGGTATTTTCAAAATCTCTATTTTTACTTAAGTATAATTTACATATAATAAAATACAGATGTTTATAGTTTAATGAGTTTTGACAAGTACATTCATTCACTTGTATCCACCACCCCAATCAATATCTAGAATATTACCCCCACCCTAGAAATGTCCCAGTGTTCCTTTCGAGTCTCCTCACCGTGGGCAACCATTGTTCTGATTTCTATCGCCCGAGAGTGGTTTAGCCAGTTCAAGAGCCTCACGTCGATGCAATCATATAATATGTACTATCTTGCCTCTGGCTTCTTTCGCTCAACAGGTTTCTGAGGCTCGTCCATGTTGTGTGTACCAGTAATTCATTGCTTTTTTATCGATAAGTACACAGATGTTCATTGTATGGCTACACCACTGTTGGTTTATTTATTCCTTCACTGTTTCTAGTTTGGAGCTATTATGAATAAAGCTGCTATGGACTCATGGAGAATTTTACTTTACCTGGATGGTTCATCTCTTTACAAGTACTTGTTCATGGGTGACATGGCATTTATAAAAATAAACTCTCCAAGTTCCTGTACCTCCAGTCCTGCCCCCCAGCTCCTCTGGATTGTTAGCCTAAAACCATCCCCTAGCTCTATGTCTGCCTCCTGCCCATCCTTGGCCTCGTGTGTCCTGTCCTTACCACTCAAAGCTCTCGGGCAGAAATGCCAAGCTCCCAAAGATCTTCTTGCAGCCCGTGAACTCCTTGATGTTGGCACTGGTGACTGCTCTCACCTCCCGCAAGTGCTCCCTGCCCAATCCATAGCACTCTGGGGGGTGGGAAGGGACAACAGGGTGAAGGCACTGATCACATGGGGTGGCAGGAACACAGATTCCAAAGTCCTCTCTGCAGCCTCCTCCTGGGGACCCCGGCGGCAGCAAGTAGGTACCTCGGGCACAGGGCTTGCTGCATTTCTCACACTTCTGGGTCCCATCGTCAGCGGTCACCTCTTGGTTGTTCAGGGGACAGACCAGGGTACAGGAGCCCACATCCGTAGACAGGTAGTTGTCTGAAGAAATGAGGGAAGCTTTGAGCTGTGGCCCTCCATGCCTCAATATGGGCAGTGCCACCATGTCCAGGTACAATAAGATCAAAGTAGTCGCCATGCTCTCACTATGAGCCAGGGGTTGGTCCATTCATGCCTCACAACCTTACATAGAATCCCATTTTACAGTATTGAAAACTAAAGCACAGGGTTGAAGCAAGTCACTGGAGACCATAGTGGTACTTAAGTGGAGGAGCCAGATTAGAACCCAGATAGTCTGGATCTCTCAACCACCCTTACGGTGAGAGTCCAGCCAGAACCCAAAGGTCCACTCCTGTCCCCCATGAGAGGAGGAAGCAGGTTCCCCAGTCCCAGCCCAGTCCCAGGGGATGCTGACACTCACAGGGACAGGTGACCACACAGCTAGCACCAAATGTGTAACGGCCCTCAGGGTTGATCACAGATTCAAAGGTGTCCGTGTTGTAGATGACCAGGGGCGGGCAGTGCAGCTCACAGATGCCGCTGTGGTTGAAGTGGAGACAGGCCTGGGAGGGCAAGCAGTTTTGGTGGTCACTGGGGCAGTATCAGGTGGCAGGTCCTTCTCCCATGTACCTCCTGGGGAGATGAGGCTCAGTGAGCAAGGGCAGAGGCACATACCAGGCAGTCGGAGTGCTTGGGGCCTGTGCAGCCAGCAGCACACTGCTCGTGGCAGCAGTCGGTGGGCAGGGGACCCTTGCATCGGGCGCAGCCACTGGCACAGACGGTACGGGTCACTGTTGGGAATAAGGCAAAAGGCAGGATGAGGGTGGCAGACACTCTCCAGCATCACCTTCTGTAAATATTCCCTGCCCCTGCACCCCAGACTCTGGACCTCAGGAAGACTCACAGCTCTGACAGTCCTTGGAACTTTCTCCCCAGCAGTGGGAGGCTTTACAAGCTGAAGAGCAGGGTCTGCCTGGGGAGAGAAAGAGAGAGAGACCGTGAAAGAGGAAGAGCTACCACGGAGCGAGACCAAACGACGAAAGAGTCACAGAGGGAGCAGATAGGTTTCACAGACAGCAGAGGAGAGAGGGCAGTGAGAACCCTAGAGCCGAAGACACACAGAGAGGGAGCACAGGAGGGAGGAAGGGAGGAAGAGGTGATGGGTGGTGTCAGGGGCTGGGGCTGGGTAAACCAGGAGTTTGGGGCTGAGAGGGCTGTCAGACACTACAGGTGTTGGGGGGTGGGGTGGGGGGCTTACAGGTCCGTGAGTGGTTGGAATCTACCAGCTCCAGGGGCAGCTGGTTGTTCTTATGGAAGATGTCTTTCCACAAAATCGTCTCCTGGTAGCAAAGCTGAGGGTTGCGCATGATCAGGACACCTCCCTTCAGGATCTCTGTGGGGTGGGCAATAATCAGGGTATCCGCTCACCATGTCTTCTTTCAACCCTCCTCTAGGACCGTCCCACCTCTCAAGAGAGAAGCAGGCCACTTATGTAAGCCCCAGGCCCCCGAGGGAACAGGGAAGGGCTCCGGAGAGAGTACATACAGGGATTTTCCTGGGCATTACCTTCAGCACACCCCACACACATTCACAGATTTACAGACAAACAAACTGAGCCCAGGAAGAAGTAAATGTCCTTGTCAGGGTCCAGATGTCCATGTCCTGCTCTTCTTTCCTCTTACTCTGACCCACTCTGACCCTGTGCATACTGCTTAATCATCAAGAGAAACTGGGGGCTCTGAAACCCAGCCTCACCACCAGCTAGCGGCATGACCTGGTATAAGTCGCTTATTCTCTGCAAGTCTCAGTTTTCTCATCTGTAAACTGGGAATAACACCGATGCTTCCCTTGCAGCATTAGAGCAAGACTGAAATGCAATTATGTTTGCAAAATGCCTGGTACCCAGAGCCTTGGGACACTACCAGCTCCAAGGCCACCATGGATAGTTACAAAGGTTGTTTACAACACACATGTACTCAGCCAAGTGGAGGCAAAAACCCAGCCCACGTTTTAATTACCAAGCTGTGACAAACTGACAGACAAGTGGTGGTCCCCAGCTCTGCTCCCATTAACCCAGAGAGAGCACCATTTATAGTTCATACAAAGGTGTCCATGGCTAGCAATGGCCTTGGCCAATTCTCAATGCCCAGGAGAGGGTTTCAATGATAATGATAACCACCTGTGAGGCTTCGCAGCTGCAGCTCCTGCAATCCTCCCGGATTCGTCCCAGTGGCGGGAGTGATACGATCCAGTGGGTCTCCATTGTCCAACACAGCCAAGGCAAATTGATCCTGGAAGAGCTGGGTGCCTCGCACAATGCGCAGCCTATGCAGTGGGACCTGCCTCACTTGGTTGTGGGCGATGAGCACGTAGCCTTGTACCTCCTGGATGTCCTGGGAGGGGACAGAGGGGACAGGGTTGAGGCAGGTCTGAAGCTCCAGGCACTAAGACCTCCTCCTCATTTGAGGATCATGGGCTAGGTTTCCAGACATCCTGAGCAGTTCTATTCTTCAGACATTAAAACAGAGGTCAAGTGTCTTTGCTTTGCTTCACCAGATCCTTGTATGATCTAGAATGATCTTGATGGAGGGAGCAGTTTGCAAAGTGTTAGTAAGAGTCCTGCCCTCTTTGCATTCCAGCTTCCTCATTTGTAAAAGGAAAGGCCTAGACCAGATGATGTCTGAGGTTTAGCGGCCCAAACACCGCAAACACAACCCCACTCCAGGGCGCCATGACCACAGCCCAACATGTTGGTTTCCACTTTGCTCTGTTCAGGACCATTCATATCTATTCCCCTTTGATCTTCACAATGGCCCCTCCATAGGAAGGCAAAGCATGCTGACTGCTCCCGATACACAGACAGGGAAAGTAAAACCCAGTGGAGTGAAGGGCTCGGACCATGTTCACACAGCTCATCAGTTGCAGAACTGGGCCTAGAATGCATACATCTACCACCATCTCTTTCCACTGCTCCAAGTAGGAGAGAATGGATAAGAGACTCGGATAAGAGGAGAGGTGACCATGTTGGCAAGAGAGCAAAAATTTAGCAAAAGAACAGATGCATTCCACCCAAAGAGGTCTATGGCCAGACACATTAGAGAGTGTGTCAACTGATGTTGCAGCAGAATGGATGGGAGTCCGACATCAGAAAGGACTTCCTAGTTGAGGAAACACAAGAAAGAGATATCCTCGTCTGTTGTTGCTGTTAAGTGTCCTCGAGTTGGTTCTGACCCTTAGTGATCCTGTGTAGGGTTTCTAAGGAACAGCTGGTGAGCTTGAACTGCTGACCTTGCAGTTCAAACCAACTTTGTAGTCCAGTTCATTAACCCACAGCGCCACACCTATAAGCAGAGGCTTGGCCCAAATGGAGCAGGGGACTAGCTGAGTTATCCATGGGCCTCACCTGTAGGAAGGAGAGGCTGGCATTGGCAGGCAGGTAGGTGAGCTCCAGGTTACCCTGCACCACCTGACAGTCTTGGTAGAGGTGACGAAGCATGTCCAGGTGGGTCTCGGGGCTGGTGGGGAGCTGCAGCTTCATGTCAGTTCCAGTACACACTGGCAAGAGGGAGGAGACAGGTCAAAGAGCCACCACCTCCTCCACACTCACTCGGGACCCCATGTCCTGCCATCTCACACAGGGAGAACCCCTCCTCCCACGGTGTCCCTTGCACCTGCAGAGTTACCAGCAGAAGAAAGCTTAGGTGTTTGGGGAAAGCAGTTATGGGCGTGGCTGCTTCTAACTAGTCCCATCCTGAGAGCATCCAAGGCACTTGCCTGCCCAGTTCAGGGTGTTGGCTGGCAAAGAGAGCCTCCTTTGTCCCAAAGGCCACAACTCAGGGCCAAGGAGTGAAAATTCCCCAAGAGAGGAGATGAATCATAAATCCTGTGGATACCCCCTTGCCCCTCTTCCAAGCAAACAAACTCAGGGCTATTCTCCCCACCTCATTCCAATACCACCCACATGCCAACTGCCTGGCATGGGATATCCAGTCCCCCAATGCCACCCAGAAAGTAGGAAATGATGGTCAACTGGAGTCACAGCCACTGGGGGCAACGAAAGGCCTAGTCACTGCAGGGACCTTTGGAATTTCCCCAGGCAGAGAAAAGCCCCAGCTACAGACATTCAGACCCAGGCTGAGATCCTGGGTCAAGGTGATGCCTTTTGTGAGGGTTCCTATGCTGGCACCCTCACCTGCCACCTCCTCAAGGCAAGACTCCAGAACCAGCTGGCAGAACTGACGCCAAGAAACTTGTGGCACTAGGACACTACGTCAATCCGGTGTAACTGCCCCAGCACCTACCATCCGCCAAGGGACATCAAGATAAACTGTCATACCTGGTCCACCTGGCCCTAGCCTGGTGTCCCTGGAACCAGAAGTACCCACTGAGATCAGAGATACTGGAGAGGGGTAAACTAAGCTCCTGGTGAGGTGGGCGTTCTGGGCAGTAGCTGGCACTATACCTGTCAGCAGGGGGCAGATTAAAGTGCCCAGTTGAACCCGTTTTTCAGCTCTGGCAAGAAGATGAATCACCTGGTGCGTCTTGCCCGGGAGGGTGTTGGGGGGTGGGAAGGGAAGGTGGGTGGAGGGCACCCTTGGTTACACAGGTACACAGGTGTCTGAGATGCCAAAATTCCTGTTAGACCCCTCCAACAGATGACACTAGACGCATAATGGGGAAGGCATAGTGGCTGGCTTCAAAGTCTAATGCCAGGACCCCTGCTCTCCCAGTAACCTGAAGCCTAAGCTCAAATCTCAGGGGTCCTAAGAGACACCTGCCTCTGAGAGCTGGTAGGACAAACCCCCAGGTTCCTGCCTGAGCTGGTGACCAAGAGCTGGCAGCCTCCTGTAATAGTCAGAGTGGTCTCTATTCTCAGCCCACTGGGCAGAAAAGGAGCAGCAAAGAGGGAGGGAGGAAGTACCCATAAATAGAATTCAAGGGTTCATCCACCTCCCAGACTGAAACGAGAAACTGCCAGGAACCCCCTTTATGTTTCACCCACTGACACCACCTCCTCTGGCCCCTCCCCAAAACTCCCCAGAGAAACAGGAGCCCAGGGTAGCATGCAAGGCCCAAAATAACGCCCTGCTGCTAGGACCTCCCCCAGCCTGGCAGCTTCAGCTGCTTGGAAGGCCCAGCTGTCTCCAGGCCCAGACCCCAGGCCCTGGCCCAAGCCTCAGGGACAGGGACCTGCAGGTCTAGGGCAGGGGTGTCTCCACCCCTTGCAGCCCTCTGCTGCCTCCAAGGGATATAAGCTGTGGCCACCAGGCAATAGAAAAACAACAGCAATGGGAACTGGGAGTCACACGTTCACTTCATGCCCACTTCTGTACCCAGCAGGTACTCTGGGTGGATTCTCATAACATACTTGAGAGGCTGGGTCTGCAAAGAAGGAAACTGAGGCTAGCAAGGGTTAGATTATCCCAAAATCACAAAGCTTGCACACCACAAATGTTAAGATTTAAACCTGGATCTGCCTAACTTTAAATCCCACATTTCTTCCACTAGACCTGACTGCACACACACAAATACACCCCACGCCCTATGCAACGTAAATACACGTCAACTCTACTGGTGCTACGGATAAACATTACAGGACTCTAGGTCTGGCAGCTGAACTGGGCAGGGCAGGAGGATCAGAAATCTGGGAGCCCCGCCCCACTAAGTGAGTCTGTTTACCTGATTTGTGTCTGATTTGATTATGATTAAGATTCTTAAAGTGTTTGCAGACAGGTGGTAAAGTTGGTCCCCTAAGTCCTATTCCCAGGGAGCTAACTGCCCGGGAGAACTTGACCTAATTCCCAGAAAGACTTTTTGACACTTCTCTCCCCTTCCTTCCTACTCCATCTCACATCAATCTCCCCTTTTCCAGTCCTCACAGCCCCCACATCCACCAACCCATAGGGGTAAAAGTCCTAATTCCACACAATGCACTTCTTTATTTCCAGGACTCTCTTGTCCCTCCGGAACCCCAACCTCCAATTCTCCAAGACAAAGACAGTGAGGCAGGACCACTGCAGAGTCAGGACAGAACACAGTGAAAAACTGGATAAACATCAGATGAATGAATGAATTCCAGGTGCCCACCCTGGGTGGGTTCTCTCCTTCCCACCAGCCTCCAACCCCAACTGCTCCTCTTGCTCGCTCTACGGAAACCAACACTCCTTTGGTTTTCACGAAGACTACTGAGACACCTCTGGTAGCGTAGTGGTTACGAATCGGGCTGCGAACCTTAAGGTCAGCGGTTCGAAACTACCAGCCGCTCCGCGGGAGAAAGATGAGGCTTTCTACTCCCGTAAAGATTTACACCCTAGGAAACCCTGTATAGGGTCGCTATGGGTTGGACCCGACTCGATGGCACTTAACAACAACAACAACAACTGAGACACCTACTTGCTCCCAAGGCTCACCTTCCTGTGAGACTTGAGGTCAGAATCCACTCTCATCTCCTCACACATGGAATGCATCAGGTCTAGGTTCAGGATGCTTAGAACAAAACCCTAGCTCTGCCGCTCACCCTGTAACTGTGGACAAGTCCCTAGACCTCTCCCAGGTTCTCCAGGCAGGGGCGACATCATGGTGCCTGCCAGAAGGTAGGCATTCAGTGACTGACTATGTGTTGACCCGAGTGTGGCTTAAGGAGAGGATCATAAAAACAACTCTTACTGTCCTGGAGAGGCTAAAAGAGAGTCAGATAAGATGATGAACTGAAAAGCAATCTGTAAACACACAAGGCTATGTAAACAGAACTGGGACAATACAAACACTAGCTAAAATAATTCCCCACTCCCCTGAGAGCACACACCCCTGACTCTGCCTCAGCTCTCTTCCCAGGGGTGGTGAGAACACGTGGCCTAGCCAGAAATGAAGGTGTACTCTAGAGGGGCTTCTCACAGGCTGAGGGTAGGGAGGGGGGGATCTCTTTCCAGGTCATTCCAGCCCCCAGGGCTACCCTGACCCCTTCATCAGATCCCTCCAGCCCCATCTTTCATTGGTCACGCCAACTGTCTCCCCCTACTCACAGTCCTATTTGTCCCAATGGCCTCTACCCCGATCCTGCTGTCAGTAGGGCAGCCATGGGCTGGAGAGGACTCTGAGGCCAGGTGCATCCTAATAGACAGGGGAGACAGATCCACTTTCTATAGCTAAATGGGTGGGAAGATCACTCACCTAAAAATCAGGGTTGTGTGGTGGCCCCTAAGTCAGGGCTTTGCTCAACCCATCCCTGTTAGATGAAAGTTAAATTCTGCTAAATCTTGATGCCTCCTTATTAGATTCTAAAATGCCTTGGACATTATTGAATAACTGGGAAGTTTTGGATAAGTCACTTAATTTCTTTCAATATCAGTTTTTCTCATCTGAACACCAACTTCAAAGGATTGTTGCAAAGATAAAAGAAACTGTAAGAACTTGGAACATAGGAAACACTTTTTTTTTTTTTAATTAAGGCAAGAGAGGTTAATACAGCAGAAATATGGGAAATCTCAAACTAAAAAAAATATATATATATAAAAGCTGACTTTGGAATCCAATATTGGTTCTCTTTTAACACTTGAGCTTACCTTTCACTTGTTATTGTTTTCTTGAATATTAAAATAAGGGTACTTTCCCTACTTCAATAGTAAAAGGAGAATCCTACTGGAATTAAAATAAGTTTGGCAAGATAAAAACATGTGTTTGCTGCAATTTACAAAACCTTGACCTCTAAGAAAGGATCTCAGCAATATCCTAGCCCCCTGGGCCTTCCCCTACTTCCCCCTCCCACATTCCTGTCCCTGCCCCTTGTCCTGGGATGTAAGAGGGAGGGTGTGCTGTCCTCTGAACCAGTCCCTCCACAATACAGGCAGCAGTGCAGGCTGAGGGTGCCCCAGTCCACAGCACTCCTAAGACCCTCACAATCCAACTCTGCAGCAGCCTGGCTGGCCTCACCCTTCTCAGCAGAACACCAGGGGTGATGACCCCTGCCTGGGAAACAGCTAGGGGAAGAAAGGGGCTCCCCAGAAGAGAAGAACCTCCTTCCTCAGAGAGGTGTGGGGCCACCTGGGCTGTTTACAGGCACTCTGGCTCTGGCACCTTGAGGAAGTTTCTTGAGAGGGCAGAGTTCAGCCAAGCGCCCAAGTCGGCAGGGAGACTGCTGTCTGGCAACACAAAGCCCAGACTACACAACTCAGGAACACCCTAGCATAGACACGCAGCCTCCTACACATGCTGACCCTCCAGCTCCACACAAGCATTATAACACCACCACCCTAGGGCTCCCTGGCCTGTGGAGACCACCCACTAAATTCAGAACACTCTCATTTTGTCCTTCCCACAACTTGGGAAAGCAAGAGTCCAGAGTCCCCTTGTTCAAGGCAGATAATTTCCAATGTGTGGTTGGAGGTCTGTCTGCCTGGGGTCGAGATCTGAGTCCACCACCGCTCATTAAATGGCAGGACTTTACCTGGAAATGCTAGCAGAACTTCTCTTATAGGGTTGTTCTGAGGGTTAAAGTAGGGGAGGCACGCAAAACACCAAAGTACAGTGAGTCCTGGTGGCGCTGTGGTTAATGCGCTGGGCTGCGTTCCAACCCACCAGCTGCTGCAGTCTGCTTCTGTAAACACTACAGCTGAAGCCCTGGGGTGGGGGTGGGGGTAGTTCTACTCTGTCCAATAGGGTCGCCAGGGGTAGGAATCAACTCCATGGCAATGAGTGGGTGGTGGTAGCATCAGCTACATCTTTCGTTGTTGTTAAATGCCGTGGAGCCGATTCCGACACACAGCGACCCTGTATGGTGTTTCCAAGGAGCAACTGGTGAATTTGAACCGCCGACCTGGCGGTCCAGTGCATTATCCCACAGATACACGATCGCTTCTAGCATTATTGCCCCTCTTAGGACACACACTGCTCCCATCTTCCTTTTCTATCCACACACAGCCCACATATCCTGAGGGAAAAAAAAGACAGCTCCCTCGCTCAGCCCTACTGCATTGCCCCCATCTGGGCAGCCCGACTGCTTACGGCCTCTCCAACCTGCTGAGGACTACTCCCTCCCGCGTAACGCTCTCCTTTTATGCTCCTCAACCAGAAATCCCCACCAGCACTCCGCCACCCTGTCCCCACACGGGGCTTAAAGCAACGTTCACAAGCAATCGTCTCCCCCTCCCCCTAGCCCAGACCCCAGGATGAGGCAATTCGGCAGTCAGACCCGCCGCCCTCTGGTTCCAGCTCCGGCTCAACAGGTTGCTCTCCCCACCTCCCCCTCCACACCCCGACCCTGCTTGGAGCTGGAGTAACTCTAGTGAGTGAAGGGGGCGGGGAGGGACAAGGCGGAGGGGACCCCCCAAAGGAATCCAGCCCAGTCCAGTCTGGGGGCGGAGGCTGCCAACTGGAAAAGCTTTGAGAAAGCTGGAAAGGGCTCAGGAAACACACACACTACACGACGCAATCTGCCCTTTGAGGGAAAACTTTCTAAACAATTTTCGAGAACTTTTCTAACAAGTTCTCGGAGCCAGTCTCTTGAACGAAGCTTTTAGATCCGCTTCGATGAAACTGCCCCCCTAGGCCACCTTCTTTAGCCCTTCTCTGCCCGAGGGTCCGGCTGTCCAGAGCGCCCCGACTGTCCCCAAGTTCGGATCCCGAGAGCTCTCGGATTCCTTTCCCCGCCCGCTCAGCTCTTTCTGCGGGGATCCAGGCTGCAGGGACTCCCGTCGCTGCTCCATGCCCTTCCCACCCCAGACCCACCTTGGGTGCCCACGACTCTGGGGGGCAGGAGGGCGAAGAGGAGCCCCCAGCGGCACCAGGCCGCCAGCTCCATGGTGCTCACAGCGGCTCCGGCCCCATGGCTCCGGCTGGACCAGGCTGCGCGGGCGCCGGGTGGGAGGGGGCGGAGGGCAAGCGCTGGGGGTCTGGTCGACACCCTGGGAGCGGCGGGCAGCGGCCTCGGGGTGCTCCTCGTAGCTCCGGTCACTATCGAGCCGAGTTTCAGCTCCACAACTTCATTCTGTACTTCCTCAAGTAAGGCAGCCCTCCTCCTCCTCCTCCAGCTCCTACTCCAGTGATTGGGAGCAAGCGCGCAAGCAGCTTGCCCCCCCCCACCCCCTCCAACTGCATTCCAACAAGTCTCGGGGAGTGGCAACTCCCGGCTCACTTTCTCCCTCTCTCCGCGCAGGCCCGCGAGCGTCCTCCCGGGGCCGGGACGCCTGGGTTCTCTGCAGCTGGTCTCAGAGAACCCCTAAAAGCAGTGACTCTTCTCCTCCCGCAGCCCGGGGCAAATTCTTTAGGGGCCGCCTGCCATCCTTAATGTTCTTTAAGGTCGCCCATTTTATCTTTAAAACATTCCTGACGAGTTTGCGTCCTACACATCACATGGTTGTTTGTTTTCGGAACAAATCAAGGTTTTCCCACTACATCCTCAACTAAAATTGACCGTCAGGGAGGGAAGTATGTTGTATTTAACTTGTGCCTTCTTCCGAAACCCCTTGGAACAACACCTTTTTGAATCTTTTCCCCAGTCTGAAAAACATGAGCCTAAGGAGATGTACAAATGAGGAATGGTGGGCTTTCAAATTGATGGAACCTTCTCAGATCTTGGAAGAATGCTCCTTTTGTTTCTTTATGGGGGCATCTAGTACCTAATTCATTCAAGATAGCCCCTCTGTCCCTTGCCTTTTATTACTCTGCTCAATTCCATCTCCTCACCCTGCATTCCACTTGGACCCCCTGACCCTGTTCCTCAGGCCCAATGGTGGGAGTGGGGTGGGGATGGGGACCAAAGGAAGGCATGTTATTACTGGAAATTCCAACAAAAAGAATGCATGGGACATATTATACTAACAAAGTATTCATAGTTTACCTGAATTCAAATTTAATTGGGTGTCCTTATTTTTATTTGCTAAATCTGGCTAATCTAATTGGCAGACCCCAGTCAAGAAAAAGTCAGAAGCACCGTTGAGGACTAGCTAATGATAGGTACTACTAGCATTTCTTAGGTCAGCAGTTGGAAACTACCAGCTGCTCTGCAGGAGAAAGATGAGACTTTCTGCTCCGGTAAAAATGTACAGCCTCGGAAACCCTGTACAGGGTCGCTATGGGTCGGAACCGACTCCTCGACGGCACTTAACAACAACAACCAGCATTTCTTAAACTGCTGCCATGTGGTTGGCAAGGTTATAAGCAGGCATTCCTACAGTAGAGGATGCTGGTGGGGTGGTGAGCCATATCAGGGGCTCTGGGACCAGAATAATCTGAGTTCCAATTGCTCCCCTCTGCCACATATTAGCTGTGTGATTTTGTGAAAGTGACTGAGTCTATCTGGGTTTCAGTTTGCCCATCTGTAAAATAGGTTCTGTGATAACATCTGGTATGCTATGCTAGAGGTTAAATGAAATAACACTCCTGACGCACTTTGCACCATACTTAGCGTAGAGTAACTGCTCAGTAAATAGTCTCAACAGTGATTATACTGGTCAGATCCAGGGGGAGCCTGAAGCTTATAAACTTTGGGATACTCTGTAAGAAAAGGAAAGTTGTTGTTAGGTATCATTGAATCCGTTTTTGACTCATAGCAACCATATGTACAACAGAATGAAACACTGCCTAGTCTTGTACCATCCTGACAAACATTGTTTGAACCCACTGTTGCAGTCACTGGGTCGGTCCATCTCTCTGGGGGTCTTCTTTGAAGGCCTTCTACTTTACCAAGCATGATGTGCTTTTCCAGGTCCCTCCTAATAATATGTCCGAAGTACATGAGACAATCCTCTCTTCTAAGGGGCATTCTGGCTATAATTTTCCCAAGATAGATTTGTTTGTTCTTCTGACAGCCCATGATACTTTCAATATTCACCAATACCTTAATTCAAAGGCATCAATTTTTCTTCAGTCTTCCTTATTCATTGTTCAACTTTCACATGCATATGAAGCAATTAGTCCTCTAAGTGACATCTTTGCTCTTCAACACTTTAAGGATCTTTTGCAGCAGATTAAAATGAAATCCTTGAATCAGTGTTTTTTCATCTTTTATCATGATGTCTATTGGTCTAGTCATGAGGATTTTTGCTTTCTTTGCTTTGATCTTTATCTTCAAGTACTTCAACTCCTCTTGGCTTTCAGCAAGCAAAGATTGTGTCATCTGCATATCACAGACTGTTAATGGGCCTTCTCCAATCCTGATGTCATGCTCTTCTTCAAACAGTCCTGGTTCTCAGATTATTTTCTCAGCACACAGATTGAATAAGTATGGTAAAAGAATACAACCCTGACACACACCTTTCCTAATTTTAAGCCATGCAATATCCCCTTGTTCTGTTCGAATGACTGCCTCTTGGTCTATGTACAGGTTCTGCATGAGCACAATTAAATGCTCTAGAATTTTCATTCTTTGCAATGGTACTCATTGTTTGTTAGGATTCACACAGCTGAATGCCTTTGCGTAGTCAATAAAACACAAGTAAACACCTTTCTGGTATTTTCTGCTTTCAGCCCAAATCGGTCTGACATCATCAATGATGTCCTCTTCTGAATCTGGCATGAACTTCCTGTAGCTCTCTGTCAAGGTACTTCTGCAACTCTTTTTTGAATCCTCTTCAGCGAAATGTTGCTTGTGTACGATATTAATTATATTTTTCAATAATTTCCACATTCGGTAGGGTTCACCTTTCTTTGGAATACATAACAGAATCCATTAGAAGAGTTGTAAAATCAATTGAGACCACCAAGATCAGTTTTTTAAGAAAAATAGAATCATAAACATCTGAGAGCATCACATGTGTAGTAAGATAAGTGTGTTCTTGTATGTGTATCACAGATAGTGATGTAAAACAAATTTATTCTTTAGTAGCAAATGTTTGAGAAACCTGCTGTGCATGGGGACACAGCCACCCTTCAAGATGGGCATCCAAATCCCTATTTTGTCTAGAGTTAGGATTAAGAAAACAGGCTCAAAAGAGTTCAGCAATTTCCCCAGAACTATCTTGGGGCTAACTGGGGAAAAGTTGTACATCCAGCAAAACCAGCCCCTCACCTCTATCCCATCATTCAGTCTTGTGAAAGTGTCTCTCCGCCCTTCTTAGTTACCATATTACATTAGTTATCAAATGCTGCTGTAACAGAATACCGCAAGTGGATGGCTTCAACAAATAGAAATCTATTTTCTCAGTTTAGGAGGCTAGAAGGCTGAATTAATTCAAGGTACCAGCTCTAGAGAAAGACTTTCTCTGTAGGCTCAGGAGGAAGGTTCTGGCCTCTTCTGAGCTTCTCTCCTGGGCAACCATTTGTCTTAGCATTTCTCTTATCCCATCTCTGTTTGATGGCATGCTTATTTAATCTCTTTGATATCCCAAAAGAGGTCCATTCAAAATACATGCTCTACCCAATTCCTACTTGTTGTTGTTGTTGTTAAGTGCCGTCAAGTCGGTTCCGACCCATAGCGACCCTGTACAGGGTTTCCGAGGGTGTAAATCCTACTACATTAACATAAATAACCCATTCCCAAGGGGGGTTATAACCACAGGCAGAGAGAGTAGGATTTACAACACATATTTTAGGGGAACACAGTTCAATCCATAACCCTCATCAAGGGCTTGCACCTGGGTGAGTGCACATGTGGCTTTCCAGAAACTATCCGGATGTTAGGGTCAAGATCCTTCTCCCCACCACCACCCCACCTCAGGTTAAGGAAGGGGTCATCCAGTCAGAAAAGCTGCCATCTTGTCCTAGACCACGGTCCTTGAAGCACGAGCAGAGACAGTGTAATGGGTCCCATTTCACAAAAGGGAAATCCGGAAGATTCCTAGAGGTAAAGCAACTTGTCCAAGGTCACAGAGAAGAGCTGGGAACTGAACCTAGTCTTTAGAGTCACGGCTTTGTTTTGAACTCTTAACCTCAAGAGCCTGGACCCACCCTCTAGCCCAGACTCCTGCAAGAGAGCTGGAGGAGACTACTCCAAGATGTCTGTAGCTTGCTTCGCTCCACAGCAAGGCCACCCTCTCAGCACCCGGACCCCAGGGAGAGGGAGAAACCAGGCTCAGAGACAAAGCTCAGTCTCAGTGGGCTGCGCAGAGAAGGCGGAGCCAGAGGAGTGGGGGCAGGGGAGGAGCTGGGGTCAGAACTCACGCCCCGGGGAGGAGGCTCGAGAGGGGCCAAATCTCTCAAAGAGAATGAGCCCTTTCAGAACCGGGAAGGAAGGGGAAAAAACCTTGTCTGCTACTTGACAAGAGGAGAGGAAGGGGGGGGCAGGAGGGGCGCTGCTGATTGGATTCCCCCTCACTGTCCCTCTAGCCGTGCCTGGCAGGAGAGCCAAGGAAAGAGGATGTCTGAGGGACAAAGAGCTAGAGGGATTGTTTCAGCCTAGGAGCAGGGGGCGGGATTGTTGAAGGAGTAAGAGAGTCCAGGAGAAATTTAATTAGGGGCCTAGGAAGAAGGAGACTGGGGTTCAGAGGAAAGGTGACCGGTGACCGCAGGACAAAGGGGAGCAAGTCAAGGGGTAGATGCATGAGATTTTCCCGAGAAGATCTCTGGGCAACCGATACAGGACCTGTGGGTAGCAGAGGTGATCACTGGCTCTGCCCTGCAAAGGTGACCACTAAGGGTCAACAGGCTGGGGTCTGGAACAAGTGGCCTGTGAAATGCCAGTCAATCACTGACTAGCCAGTAGGCCTGGGGGACACACGAGGCTGTGTGTGAGTGTGTCTGTGTTGGCACCTGAGTCTCCTCCCCTCAGCCTACCTCACTAACCAGCCTTGTGGTCAGAGGACAAAAAAACAAACAGAAGAAGGGAGGGAACAGTCCACAGTCCAAATTGGGTCCTGCCCACAGGGCTAGGGGCCAGGGACTGGGGTTCCTAGGAAAGTGTCTGTATGAATCAGTTACTTAGAAAGTGTCCCTCTTGGCAGGTGGACCCCAGGCCTCCCTGGGACCACAGGAGAGTTAGTAGCTTCTAGGAAAATGGGTCTTTACTACAGGTGCACGCTGTAGCTTAACCACGTGGAAGCTGTTCCTTGGGCCCAGGATTAGAGAAGATGCAAAGCCCAAACTTG